CGAAGGAGCCGAAAGAGCCCAAGGAGAAGAAGGAAAAGATCGGTACGTTTTGAACTACAGGATACAATATTTCTGACTTTTGTTATTTAACATTTTTTCTTATCGAGCAGGTCCGCATTTATCTTTCTGCAGTTATTAAATGGAAATTTAGCTGACATCTCCACTACTATGACCGAAGAGGACAGGAATGTGTTCACAAACATCGATCAAGCTCCCAAAGCTGGGAAAAAGCTCGCAATTGAGGATATCTATCAGAAGAAATCTCAATTGGAACACATTCTTCTTCGTCCTGACACTTATATTGGATCCGTCGAATACACGGAAAAAGCTGTATGTTTATTTCTTCTGTTGTTTTGTTTTCAATGGCATTTTGAGCCGTATTTTAGCCGATGTGGATTTACGACTTGGAGACTGAAAAATTGGTCATGAAAGATATCCAGTATGTGCCAGGATTGTACAAAATTTTCGATGAAATTCTCGTGAATGCTGCGGATAACAAACAAAGAGATCCCAAGATGAACTGTATAAAAATCAACATTGAAAAGTGAGCATTTCGCAATTTTTTACCAATTTTTCAATTTTTTCGCAATAAAAAAATCTGGAAGAATGTTGTTTCCAGAGAGAAGAACCAGATCTCAATTTACAACAACGGTAAAGGTATTCCTGTTGTTCACCACAAAGTGGAGAATATGTATGTTCCTGAGATGATTTTTGGAACTCTGCTAACTTCTTCTAACTACGATGACAGTCAGAGAAAAGTAAGTACTCCGCTTTTTCTTTCTTTCTCTACTTTCTCTGTCAATCGATTTGACTTTTCTGCGTTTAGGTAACCGGTGGTCGTAACGGTTATGGTGCTAAACTTTGTAACATCTTTTCTACGGAATTCACACTCGAAACTTCTTCGAAAGAATATGGAAAGGCTTTCAAGCAGGTAAAATTATCAACATTTCTTCTTGCGCATATGTTGGCCGCTAAATTTCTTTTTTCAAGACTTGGATCAACAATATGACTAAAGACAAGGATTGCCAAATCGTCAAGGCAGCTGGTGAAGATTACACCAAGGTAAGTCCACAGCGTATTTTTTAGTGTTTTTTAAATATTGAATCTTTTT